ACCTAGCTAACTCATATGACAGTCTTATAGGACAGTTTGTGTATCTGTGAAGGATTTTTGACAGCTGAGGTCTTAAACCTACTCCTTCTTTTCCTAGCTAAAATCTTACACTGCCTCACTGTGCTGGAATCAAATTTGCACTCCACTTCTCTTTGCCAAACAATCATCTATCCATCTCATCTCTCTGTCTTTATCTCCTCTGTTTTCCTACTCCCACCCAGCCTGTCTAATATTCTTACTCCACATTCCCTCCCTGTCCTCACCTTTTAGCTAGATTTCTATCAGTCACCCCTTTCTAGCGCCATCCCCCCACAGCCCTACATTCCATCTACCTGACCACTTTTCTCTTTCACCTCACAGTAAGCAGCTTGTATCCTCAGCCCGTAACTAAGTCTGTGGAATCTTATTTGTGTCTGCCTTCACTCTTATGAAATTCTCCTTCAGTGCAAATCTTGGAGGCAGGCAGCAAGAAATCCCCAGCAGACAAATAAAACCTTCACACAGGTGACTGTTGATGTAACTGTTGCTCAACCGAGAGTATGCTCTGGCATTTTCAGCTACTCTCAACATACTTGTGGGACAGACATGTTGATATTGAAGGGCAGCGTGTCCTGGAAGTTATCTGATGGGTATCTCTTTAAGAAATCTGTAGACAAAATAAAATCCACAGCAGTTTAGATGTGATGAAAATCAGTGCTGGAGGGTCCAGGACACATAGTGTAAATAGTTCAAGCCACTTCCCCTCATTCCCTTTGCTAAACATAATATTTGTAGCAGTTGTTAATAATACATCTACTGTTCCTGCTTCTGCTGATTTCTGCTGTTTTATTTAGAACTGTTCATTACATCAAAACAAAGGCCGAAACATGGTTTCCCTCAAAGAAAGTAGCAAAGCTACTCATCATATAACAATGTGTAGTGCTGTAGGACTGCTGCACAAGTATCCTGTGTTTCCATATTTAGTGACAGTTTAGATAAGAAGACACTGAAATTGAAATGCAGACTGGGGATTGTTATCAGAGGGGAACAAGGATCCACCTCACAAATTTGCTCTCATCTAGCTTGAAACCTGAGCTCTCCAAGTGAGCTCAAATGCACCTTTGATGTGCTGCAGAAAATATTCATGGAGGAAGAACCTAAGAAAATGACATGTAGGGTGTGCAGTGTGAGTGCCAAGCTCTAAATATTAAATCAGTCATATTAGTGTGCACTGCATCCTTTGCAGGTGCACAAAGTTTTTGGGATATTAAACATGTTAAGGCTCACAATAGCAATTGAATCATGATGAAAATTCTGGCAATATACTGTTAATATGACTTCAATGGCTAAAATTCAGTCACCTTGTTTTGTGTGAAATAGATGCGTGTTTGTTTAGGTAAATATGAGGCGTTTCTTTCAAAGTTCTCTGTGACATTCTCTGTTTTAGTGGTCTAAGTTTTCTCTGATCGTCCGACTCACATGGCAAATATATCCATAAATACATGCTGGTGCACCTGCACTGGCCATCAGTGTTTAAGATGTTGTTGTATTATCTTGTATAGCTGGAACCATATGATTTCTATGGTACATACAGCAGTAAAAAACTCTCAAACCCGGGTCTAGAATATGGAGTGAAATCTGAAATATCTGAAAATGTTTTTGTCAGTGCTAGCTAGTAAACTGTGTTTATGTGGATGTGGATCTGTATGATCTGGCTCGTGTGGCTGAGCTATTTGATATTTACCTGGAAAAAAAAAGCTGGTAGTGAAGTAAAATGCTCTTTTCTCTTTTATCTGATTGGCTCTTTGTCTCTCGGTGACAGAAACAAGATAAAAGCAAAGCAACATTGTTCTTTGGAAACCAGACTTCAAAACATCAAGTGGCCAAATGATCTGAAATCCTATTACTATTAGAAGAATAGTAATGGTATAATAATCATTTGTGTGTTTGGACAAAAGATTCTGGTATGAATGTGTTAACATCCTAATATGCAGATTCCTGTTTGCTGGAGATATTCTATTTCTGTAGGATGACCTGTACACTGCTAAAATGTCCATTCAGATTAGAGCTTGATATGATTTGTGCTCAATTCTGAATCATTCATGTTTAGTGTCCCCTGTGTGGCCAGCCTGCAGCCAGACTGTTGTCAGGAGTCATGGGAGGAGGGATATGGAATTGCCTTGTGATTTGGCCGCTGTGCAGTTGACCAGATGGGCTCCTTCCTTTGTCAGTCACTTTCCATAAAGCAGGCAATCAGTCAGGTTCTTCCGAGACGGACGACACTCAAATGGCTTTACCGGGGATTAGTTAGAGTCTGTGCTGCTCTAACTCTGCAACCTTCGGGGAACATTAAGGTCCCAAGACTCTGATCTCGGTCAAAGCACCGTGCTCTCTCTCAAACATCATTATTGCAGTTAAGAGGTATGACTTTGAGACAAACAGATTGAACCCCTGATGTTCATTTGCCTTCAATTTTTTATTTTCTGTTATTCAATTGAGGGCTAATTCACTAACTGATTAACTTGGATTAATCAGATTTATAAACCTCATTTAAGCAGCAATATTCCTGCTAATAGTCAGACAAAGAAAAGATTGTTTTATTTCAAACCCTCTGCCCAAACCGCTTGCTGTCTGCTCTTCTTTCTGTCTTATCTCGCCTCTCTTAATTGCTCATTAGGAGGGAAAATGTGGTTTTAATCGTCTGTCGGTCCAGACAGTCTGAAGTTCATTAGAGCTAATGTCCAAACTTCACAGAGGCACAAAGTGGCTGATGGTGCCTGTCTAGACACAAACAGCAACACTTGGCCAATTATTAATACACCTCATAAGGGCCTTTCGTGAGTGTTACTTGTTAGCTTAGGCATGAACATGTTTGTGTTTGAGCTTAACATGATAAACATAATAAATCTGTGGGTTATAATTGGTCTGGCTCTTTGTTTTTGCATATTTATGCTGTTTTAAAGTAACTTTTGCCCTCAAAAGACAGACATAATGTTAAACAAAGCACCGCAGGACACGGTAAACATTACAGTAAAAATTGTAACCAGTTGGAGAACTTACTTAGGCCCATTTTATTTTAACAATTCAAGAATTTATACCGTAGTCACGAAAAAGCGAATTTGTAAAGGCTGTAATGCTCGTCTGTGAAGGAAAACAATTTGACTAATCAAGAATTTTTTTTGAGACTTAATGAGTTACTGTAAAAATAAGCCAGATTACAGTGGCATTGCTATTGATTATTAAGTAAAGGTAAATTCTTTGCTTACAACAAAAAGTGTCATATTAAGTCTTTTAAAATAAACCCTTTCTGCCTTAGCCTTTCTAGGCTAAAGCGCTTTAGCCATGCTAAGTTTAAAAAGGCAGTCTCTAAGGCTTTTGGTAAATGAACTATCCCAGCAATTACTGAATGCTGTGAAATTCTGGGTCCCCATAGAATGGATCAAAAAAAACGTTGGTCATAGCATCACTGGGAGGCTGATATTTTTGTACTTTTTCCAATGAAAATAGCAGATACACAATCCACTTATAAATTGGAATATGCTTGGTGACTTGGTTGCGTTAACACTTCCTCTATGAGATCAGAAAACTGTTTTGAGTGAAATATAACTCAACAACCTGTTGGTGAATTATAATCAAAATGTAATAAATCTGATGGATTTTTGTTCAAATCTTTATCAGAAATATTGTGGAAGAACTAAGTCAAGTATTAAACTGAAGTTAAACCTTTGTTGGTTTGGTCATTTGCGTTTGTAGACATGTAAAGACAAATACGCTGCTAATCAGTTTGGTCATTGCACTGTCCTCTGCTGAGAATGACTGTTTTTCTGTAATGTGTTTTATGAACAAACACAATGACAAAACTAATGACATCATGGTTATTATTATTATTATTATCCAAAGAAATACTAGGAAGCTAGACTGAGTAGACTGTGGTAACAGTTAGACCTTCATACCTGCTAAATGTCAGCATGTTAGTACTGTAATTGCGAGGCTTTCATAATTTAGCTCAGAGCACTGCATGGCAGGAGCAATGCATTAACAGAGCCAGGGCAGCTGTGGTGCTTCAGGTGCACTGTCACAGACTGCATATATAAAACATTTTAAACATTTTAAAGCCCAAATCTGTGTTTGCTGGTGCTTTACATTTTTCATAAAGCAAAGATTTGGCTTGAAGGAAAACAGGGGACAGGCTACTATGAACACTATGTGAAATATACGACTCTTGCAGGGTTATAGCAAGAGGTAACATTTTCAGTTATGTCAGTAAAGACATAAAGATCAGAAAGATTTTAAAAACATGGATGAAAGGTTTCTGTGGAAACCTTTTTTGTTTACATGGAAGAATAGTATTTTTCATGTAATACATTACAGTATTTTAGCCAAGCCTGTTTGAACAAGGATATGCTAACATGCAACACTGAACACTAAGTACAGTTGAGGCTGATGAGATATCATTAAATTTGTATGTGTTTGCTCACAACTGATTCTGTTATTTTCTCTGAGAGGGGAGTTTGCAATGGCACTCTACCTATTTGGTCTTTAGATCCATGCCTTGTAGCACTTCTGCATTTTTTTTTTGTAATATTCATGCATATTAATAGCCAGAGAGAGGCCTGGCTGAAGGTGGTGACAGCATATCTGTGAGGCAAAAAATGTAGAGAATGATCACTCCCTCACAGTTACGCAGCGAGATCAGGATGAAATGTGTGAAAATGAGAGAAATGTACAATGAGTTGTTATTGTTCTAATGGACAGCTGTTTTATTAATAGAGTGTAAATATCACCACTGGATATTGAAAATTCCACATTTTTTAAATGGTCTTTCATTGCGTTTAAGAAGAAATTGTTTACTCTGCTTGCGGCTACATCAGATCTAACTGAAATATATGTGGATGTGAGTGTGTTGATATGTAGGTGGCAACATGCAGAAATCATTACACTAGTGACTGAGATTAAAAAGTGTGTTTTTTCTTTTCTTCATGCTTCCTTTTTGGCCTCTACTCCTCCACTTTCCCTTCCAGTTGTTGTGTTGTATCTGCAGGCTGTGGGAACCAAAGAATGGAGGGAGGTAAGTTAAGCAACCTTTCTATTCCCAATAACAATGTCCAATATTTTTGTCTACATATCTGCCAGATTTTTTTATTTTTATTTTTTTAATAGGGAATGAAATAAATGAGTTGTCTTCAGTGTTAGTGATTTTCAATCAGAACTTAAAATGGGGGTTATTAAGCTGAAGTCCAGAGGCAACTCACAAAAACCCCTGAGAACATTTTGTAGAAAATTGGAAGTGTGAGCCTCTTCACTTGCCCAGAAAGTGAAACCACATCTTGGGAAAAGCCCCACATATCAGACCCAAACTGGTGAATTTATGTTGGAGGTGATGGAATAAATAAATTAAAAGACTCATAATTTTATGATGTTGAATGAAATGGATTCTTGTCATGACTCAGGGCAGTTAGAGAAAGAAGGTCAGTTCTTTTTCCACCTCATCAAAAATGCACCATCTGCTCCCCTTGACATCTTGCTGTCTCATCCACTGTCACTGTTTTAAAGGCAAGGTCACGTGACATTCCATTGCTCATTAACATTTTGAATACATTTTGATCTGTTAGGTCCCTCACACAGTTCATGTCTCACATCTTGGCGCTACATTCCCTCATCTAGTTTGCCTACACGTTGCCTCTAGTCACTTTGTGTACTTTAGTCACACTATTTGGCTACCGTTGATCCCCTCATTTTAACGCACCTCACACCTTTGCTTTCCATGTGGTGGGGCTTAATCAAAAAGCACTGCATGAATTGCAGCACAATCAGCAGAGTAAATATCTCTCTGCCAGCCTTACATATTGACACCTCGAGGAGATAATTGCACATGGATGGAAACCTGGAAATCCTTTGTGTGCTTTTGACATCATTATGCATTATGTAAATAATCTATATGTCATTTGTAAGTGCAATTCATGCAGAAATTATTCATTAACGTTCAGTTACACTTACATGCAAACGTCCTGTGAGCATGATGGGTTTTTTTGTATTGTGTGACTGTTTTGTTTATTATGTGTGCGCAGTATAGAAACCTTGTCCATCAAAATAAGGTGCAATAAATTTGTATAATATTTCAAATGCACGCAGTAACCATGTGATGGGAAGGACTCAGCTAATGAAGAATCATCTTGACACTGGCCATATTTGTTATGCAAAACAAGGCTATCAGAATCAGAATCAGAAAGGGTTTTATTGCCAAATGTTGAGCAGGTTTACAACATTAGGAAATTGCTGCGGTACTTAGTGCAAAACATTCTGTAAATAAACATAAAAATAAATATTAAAAGTGCTAAGTAGATATATATACATGAGTGCAGGTGGTGATCAGTGCCAAACATGGAATGATGCAGTGAACACAGCGTAGGGTCATGTGTTAGTGGTGGAAACAGTCATATGGTTATTGTTCATGAGTCCAACAGCAGAGGGGAAGAAACTGTTCTTATGGCGAGAGGTTCTGGTGCGAATGGACCGGAGCCTCCTGCCTGAGGGGAGCAGGTCAAACAGACTGTGTCCAGGGTGAGAAGGGTCAGCTGAGATCCGAGCTGCACGCCCCAGTGTCCTGGAGGTGTACAGGTCCTGCAGAGATGGGAGTCTGCAGCCAATCACCTTCTCAGCAGAGCGCACAACACGCTGCAGTCTCTGTTTGTCCCTGATAGTGGCTCCAGCGTACCACACGGTGATGGAGGAGGTGAGGATGGACTCGATGATTGCGGTGTAGAACTGCATCATCGTCCGTGTTGGCAGGTTGAATTTCTTCAGCTGCCTCAGGAAGAAACATCCTCTGCTGGGCTTTCTTTATGACAGAGATGATGGTGGGCTCCCACTTCAGGTACTGGGTGATGGTGGTACCCAGGAAGCGGAATGAGTCCACAGAGGTGATGAGGGTGTCAGTCAGGATGATGGGGGGGAGTGGGGCTGTGTGCTTCCTGAAGTCCACAATAATCTCCACTGTCTTCTGGGCATTCAGCACCAGGTTGTTGTGGCTGCACCAGGACACCAGACGTTCAACCTCCCTCCTGTAGGCAGACTCATCCCCGTCCGAGATGAGTCCAATAACGGTGGTGTCATCTGCAAACTTGATTAGCTTGACAGACTGGTGGGTGGAGGTGCAGCAGTTGGTGTACAGGGAGAAGAGCAGAGGAGAAAGAACACAGCCCTGAGGGGAGCCGGTGCTGATGGTCCGGGAGTCCGAGACATTCTTTCCCAGCCTCACATGTTGCTTCCTGTCCGTCAGGAAGTCAGTGATCCACCGGCAGATGGGATCAGGCACATTCATCTGGGAAAGCTTGCCTTGGAGATGGTCTGGAAGGATGGTGTTGAAGGCAGAGCTGAAGTCCACAAACAGGATCCTGGCGTAGGTTCCTGGGGCGTCCAGATGCTGCAGGATGAAGTGTAGAGCCATGTTTATAGCATCGTCTACAGACCTGTTGGCTCTGTATGCAAACTGCAGGGGGTCCAGGAGGGGGGCCGTGAGGGTCTTGAGGTAGGAGAGAGCCAGGCGCTCAAATTACTTCATGACCACAGATGTCAGAGCCACAGGTCTGTAGTCATTCAGTTCGCGTCTCCTCAGATGCACGAGTGCGCCGGCTCGCTTTCCTCTCCTTCGGCGTCCCACTTTCCTGAACAAGGTCTGTAGTAAATCTGCCGCAGATGCGACAAATATTGGAAGTAAATCCACAGGTGTTGTAGTCCTGTAGTTAAGAAGCTCTTCTCTGGTGTAAGAATATCCAGAAGAGTGCCCAGACACACAAGTTATGCACAAAAACAAAACAGAAGTAATGCACTGAAGTACCAGGGCATCCATACGCGGCGCCAGCTTGGTTTCAAAGGGGTCGATGGTATATCGATGGTATATACGGCTAATATTGCATAGCCTGTACACAAAATGATCCCTGCTAATGCAATAATTTCATTCTATGACATACAAGATGATGCTGAAGCTTGATTGCTGGAGTTTTTCAGTTCCAGTTGCATCAGACTGTTTATGTCACGGGCTGCGACAGCAGACCGTGGAGTTGCAGTGAAAGTAGGACCAGGACGGAGGGCCAGAACCAAAACAAGCAAAAACAACAAAGTAACAAACCCTCCCAGGTCACAGTCCCAAAGTCAGACCGCGCATCCCGCAGCGGTGCAAAAAAAAGAAAAAACCCCACAAAACAGTCTCAGGCGGTAGTCATCACTACAACAAAAGAGTTCAAGTGGCCTACCTCTTGTCCCGTGATAGGAAAATATAAATATAAACATACACTAAAATACATGAGCCCTGGGTCCCTAGACCCAGGCCATGACAGTTTACTCATTTGTTTTATGATCACAAGCGGTTCAGTTTTCCTCTGTGAACAGCTATGATCCCCCACTTAAAGGTCAACAAATCAGCAGTAGTACCCCATAGATGACTGCAGACTACTCCGTCTCAGCTCTGTCTGTGTGATTACATGCCCTTAAGCCAGAAATGAAGGTAGAGCTACACTGGCAATGGAATTTTGTGGTGATACAAACTGTATTTCATCAAATCAGTGTTATAATTGCAGTCACTGAACAGACTAAACTCTAGGAAGCTATAGTAGGTTATTAAGCTGGTACTTTTATTTATCATCCTCCCCACAACAAAGGAATCTTATTGTCTTGTTAACGGACAGAAAGCATGTGGATTTTTTTTCTGTCTCTAATGAAAGTCTTTATAGAATTAAACCAAGGAAAATCACCAGAAAACAATCCTAAGAGTTAAACAAGTCCCAGATTGTGTTTCTGCAACTGTAATCATCTATATGTTCTCTTCAAAGGTTCTTTGGAGCGTCTGCAGATCGTTCAGAATGCTGCAGCAAGACTTTTGACGAAAGCTTCTAAATATTCACATATAACACCGTTGCTTATGCAGTTACATTAGCTTCCTGTCGAATTTAGAGTCCATTTTAAGATTTTGGTTTTAACTTTTAAGGCTCTTCAACAACAAGCACCACCATATATTATTGAACTTTTACAGCCCTATGCCCCTAGTAGATCTCTGAGGTCGAGTAGTCAGGGCCTACTTGTCATTCAGTATACAAGACTGAAAACTAGGGGTGATAGAGCTTTTGCTACTGTGGCCGCCAGACTGTGGAATTCCCTTCCTCAGGACTTACGATCCGCTGATTCATTGATTACTTTTAAAAAACAGCTAAAAACACATCTTTTTAAAATTGCTTTTTGCTAACTTTGTTTGTATCTCGTTTGTTTTTTTTATTTTTATAATCTGTTATATCTTGTAAAGCACTTTGTGATTTCTATCTAGAAATGTGCTATATAAATAAAATTTTACTTACTTACTTTACTTCCCATAAATCTTGTACAAGTTAATCTGTGTTTCATGTGTCCAAAGAACTTTTATTAGAACTGTGCAGATTCTTTTAGACGTTTCCTGCCGAGGTTTAATTTTGTCTTCTTGTTCTTGAGTGTAACCAGTGGTTTGCACCTTCTTGTAAACCTATATGTCCACTGATGATGTTGCCACCTGATGATAGACTTTGACAGTGATACACCTGCCTCCTCAAAAGTTTTATGGATATGTCATGGACATTTATGGGTATGTCTAGATTTTGTGAATTAATTTTTTCTCACCATGGAAATAATTCTGGCATCATGCACTTCAATATTCTGTGTTTTTTACTATCATAGATTGATTTTGTTTTCTCAGCCTATCCCAAAAGGTTGATTTTGTTCATCTGGATGTTGCGTTTTCAGTGGGAGAAATGTTTCGTTACTGATCCAAGTGACTTCTTCAGTCTCAGCTGACTGCAGGCTTCCCCAACCTTATAAACAGTACATTTGCAGTAAATGTGGTTACCCCAGCTGGACATTTGTCAAAGCTGGGAAGGCACCTAAAGACAGCTCCAGCCGATCCAGGAGAGAAGGACAGCTGCTGCCTAAGTGAAAACCTGTAGTGATCCTGTATGTGTCAGGAATATCGGAACGGTTGAAACGCATTCTCTCTAACCACCGCATATCTGTGGCTTTTAAACCATAAAACATGCTGCTCCAAGAATTGGTCCACCCCAAGGATCACACCACAAACAGAGTAACATAGTGTACGCTGTTAAGTGCCAGGAGGATTGCCGGGATTTATACATCAGGGAAACCAAACAACCTCTGGCGAAGCGGATGACACAACACAGAAGAGCTACCTCGTCAGGCCAGGACTCTGCAGTCTATTTACACCTACAGGCCAGTGGACACTCTTTCAACGATGAGGATGTGCACATCCTGGACAGGGAGGAACGCTGGTCAAGGAGGCCATTTACGTGAAAAGGGAAAGACCATCTCTGAATCGAGGAGGGGGCCTAAGGGTACATCTTTCGCCATCTTGCAATCCTGTGATTGCAGCCATTCCCCAGCTGGTACTCATGGACATTGATCAGTGGGCTTTGATCAGTGGTCAAGATAATTTGCATAATTATGATGAGGGTGACCTCCCAGGCCATTGTTCCTTCAGTGGTGCTAGTTTCAGCTATTGTGCAAATGTACTGTTTATAAGGTTGGGGAAGCCTGCAGTCAGCTGAGACTGAAGAAATCACTTGGATGAGTGAGGAAACATTTCTCCCACTGAAAACGCAACGTCCAGATGAACAGAATCAACCTTTTGGGATTTACTTACCTGGATGATTGAGCATGCATCAGGGCACTTTTCTCAGCCTAATGATGGCCTCCTTCACTTCTACCAATGTCTTTGAGCCTCATATTATGAATTCCAGTGTACAGATACCAAATACAAACATTTTTATCTTCCATCTACGCTCATCTTTTTCAGATCTTTCTTCAGGCCTTTTTATCTTCTTTTTTTTTTTGTAATACAACAAAAATTTAAGAAGTGAACTTCTAAAAGTGACTACAGTTAACAGGGGTTAACTAATTAATGGTTAATTAATGGTGAACATTTGCATTTTAATCCCATCTTGACTGTTTGATTTAAAATCCACGGTGGTGGCGTGCAGAGGCAAAAACAAAAAAAACAAAAAACTGCCACTGTCCAAAAACTTATGGACTGTGCTGGGCCAGGAGAGGTCTTCACTGTTTATTGTATATTAGCTAAACTTGGCAGCCACTGTGAAAATGAGTGCTAAACCCTAATTCATTTTCCACGTTTCATCGTTTGAAATATACTTGTTTCAGTGGTGATCATTTGAAAAGTGTTTGCAGATGAGTCGGCATCTTGAAAATGAAAATATGGGTTCCCATGAAGTAATCATCTAGTTTGTCTGCAGTCTGCCCCCATTAAAATTACTAAACTCCATGAATTTTAACCACTTTTCAAGTTTCACTTTTTTTATTTGGCATTTCTGATTGAAATTAAACCAAACAAACAAAAACAAACATGGACACACTCTGTAGCCTGCTGTCAGCAATGCTACTGTACACTTTGACTAAATTCACTTGGTTGTTTGCATTATAGGACACAGACACAGCAAGATTGCTATCCTACTACGGATTTCGGGGCGTTACTTCTGTTGATTCACTTGAAACATTTCTGTGTTCGTCTTTAATGAGAGTTTCTCTCACTTGCTTGAAGTGGGTGGGAGTTCATTCCCTGCAGCAATCAGGATTTTGCAACCTTTGAATCAAGATATGATGACAATTATGGGGTTGTTTTCTTAAGATGTCAAGCCTCTGCTCATTAAATTTGTTCAAAACACACCCACACAGTCCTGGTGAAGCAGATTAGCTTGATAGCTAGTTGAACTCCTACCTTTAAATCTGATTTCGGGTTATTTAATCATGACTATTCAATGCTACAGAAAAAGAACACTTTAAGTTGAAAGAACTTTTGGATTTGAAAGGCTTTAAGATCACATTTAAGATGGCAATTATCGCCTCTTCCTATAAGCTGTTTGAATTGTTGCTTGTATACATGTTAATTTGGGTTCTGAGTGCATCCATGTTGTGCTAAGGAAGATACTATTGAATTACACCAATTACAATATATGTGGTAGTGCTGAATTCTTATTCTAATACCTGTCAAATATGCTTTCAGACATGTCTACTTACCAGGCTGAGAACTGCAGATTTCCAAGGAAACAAATCTCTTTAAACCCTCTGCAACAAATGGTTCAAAGATCCCTTATGCAGCTTTTGTATTACAGTCTCTATGAACTCCATTTAGCTTACCCAATAAACGTAAAAAATGCTCCCATAACAACATACACGGAAAACAAATTGAAGAGCAGGTCTTTCTTCTGTGCACCAATGTTGTTGTTATTTAACAGTTTTTTAGCCTTGAGTCAGTTTTTCTGTGACCCAGTGTATTTCTGACAGTGAATAAATGTTCCCTGGCAGTACTTTAGTGAAAAACAATAGATGAAAGGAGTGGAATGTTGATAAAAAGCATGTATGTGTAATAGGATTACATCTGTAACCAACTCATTTTACAGTCTTAGCTCCTATGCCGACGCTGCCTTTAAAACTCCTTACTTACCCAAGAATAAGAAAAAAAAAATCACTGACAAAGCCATTCCTAACCTTTGCCCACAATGCTCTAACATCTATTAACCAATCATGTCAGAGTCAGATTATAAACCAAAGGCCTCCATCCCTGGAAATAGTAACACCGCAAGAAAATATCACGGGCTTTTCCCTGCGGGTCGATACGGCGGGTCAGTTCTGAGGTCTAATATAGTAACCTGCGAGCCCTTGGTAATGGATAGGCTGGGGACACGGTTGATAGCGCGGATTATGTGCGCTGGGCACTAAGGACATGAGTCGAGGTATTGTGGCTGTGGCGAGGCAGTGCTAAGATCAATAGCTCATTACACGGTGCTGTCAGGCCATGCCACAGCCCCGCGGCCGGCAGTCCACCGGGGGATTACTGGCGTGATTGTCAGTATGATGGAGAGACAGTCTGGCCCAGGAGAGAGGCTGGGACTGAGTCTCTGTGGGCTTGCAATGTGGAGAGCCTCCTCCAGAGTAACACTCTGATTTCTCTAGGGAAACGAGGTTCAGCAAAACACAATGCAGCTCAGTGTCATACTGAGTTTTGCAAAGGTGAATTTGTGTCTATGGATTCCAGTTCTGTGTATAAATTTATTAATGACTTGTTGCTAAACCTCATGAATTTTACTCGGTTGTATCTCTGGTGTATTTTTTCTTAAAACAAGTTTTATAGCATGTTTTTAAAAAAATCGATGCTACTGTTACCGCCAATTATCACTTCTTTTTTTTCTGTAGTTTGGCAGGACAGAGGTTATCGATAACACTCGGAATCCTGATTTCGTCAGGAAGTTTGTCCTGGATTTCTTCTTTGAAGAGAAACAGAATCTAAGGTTTGATGTGTAAGTAGCCTGACTTTGCTTGCTCTTAATAAATCTAAAGTAATTTAAACATGAGCACACTGTGGAAAAACTGAAATGTGGAGGCAGAGATAATTAACCTAGTAATGCCTTTGATTACACTTCAATAATTTATTTTCTCTGTAGATCCTCAGTTTATTGACTTTACTAAGTAACAGACCAAAGTCAAACACTCGACTGTTCACAGAATAGTGAAGTGGTTAGCACTGTCACCTCACAGCAAGAACATTATTGGTTTGAATCTGCTGGCCAGTCTTTCTGTGGTGAGGTCACATGGTCTCCCTGTACGTGTGGGTTTCAGTTTAACTGGTGGTTCAAAATTAGCTGTAGGTGTGAATGATTGTCAGGCCTCTGATGAACTGGCAGCCCAGCGACAGCTGGAATAGGCTACTTCCTCTTCCCCCAGCACTTTTCAGTATCATATACATGTACATATACCCATACTTAAGGGGCATCCACATGGAAAGAGACTAGCATTAACATAGAAACCAGAGACTATGAGATGCTAGCAGGACATGTGGTCCCACTGTAAAGTGTTTTTTTTTAACTTTTAGGCAGGCAACTGAGTGGCAGCAAAGGATACTCAATGTTTGATCTGCCAGGGGGATGTAAATATGTTAAACTACTATAATGCGTTTAAGCAGTGTATATTACTGCATTTCCATAGTTTATTAATTTATACTGCTTATTATTTACTTAAGAACAAATTGTTTGCTGATAAATACAATCACGTTGATGTGATGCATTTCAGAGGAAAGATCCTAAAATATCATTAATGTTGTTATTCATTAATTTTGAAAAAATAAAAAAATGTGAGAATTCTTAAGAATTATTATTATTATTATTATTATTATTATTATTATTATTATTATTATTATTTAGTTTGGTTTATTAAATAGAATTTAGGTTATTGGAGATTATAAAATCATAGACTGTGTAAAAAAGATGGATGTAGATGACATCAACTGGTTAGTGAAGTCCTGCTGTGAAGCTGAGGATATTTTAGTGTTGCCAGTGTTTAAGAGCACATTTCACACTTTTACACTATGCAAACAAAAGCCTATTTTACCAAAGAGTCGCCCCCTGCTGGCAGCGATAAATAATGTTCATTTAGGGTACATTCAGTCCTGGAAGCATTATTCACATGCTTAAAAATGTCTTCCTGCTAGATAACCCAGAAGATAAAACTCTGCAATTGGTCCTATAATCAGATTTTTCTGCTGAGTTGCAAAGTCATGGCATCACAGTAATGTGGCTGATCACTGCTGTGAAGAAAACAAGTAACAGAAAAATCATGCTTCTCTCCTCTGACCAGAGTTACTCTACTGCACTTTTCAAAACTGTAATAAGCAGGGCAGTTGTGGAAGGTTTTGGACTAATTTGAAACAAATATTCAAGACCTATGTGTGGCTTTTTATCCAACTTTTGGACTATACTCTAACATTAAGTAAGCAGACTATTTTTTTGTTATCACACCTGTTGGTTCCCATGTGAAAAGAAAAATCAGTTTAAGAGCTCATTACTCTGACTGTTCAAACCTGTGTGTTTCAACTCCAGGGTTAACATAATTTCTCTAAGTTAGAACTGCTGCTTTCTGAATAAACACCCTCATTGTTCCCAGACTAATAACAAGGAAGCCCATTTATGCACTTGTCCAAAATCTCCTCCAATATAAACTCACAAGTTCTTCCTCTTGTGCCATCTATTTATTTCTCACAGGTACAATGTGGACTCCAGAAGCTGTAACATATCCAAACACGTAAGTACAGTATGTCAACCTCAAACGACAGTTTTGACTCAGAGCTGAAGGCTCCTGGCAGCATTCAAATGTATCATGTTATTCAGCATTACTCACGCTGTAAATGCTAATTTACAGTCAATGAGTGCAGCAGCTGACAATGAATCAGCATGAAGAAAATTCCTGTTTAATAAGTGGAATTCCATCTCATGACAATGTCTTTTATTCTTCTTCTTCCCCACTAAAATAAATCACACTGGAGAACAGAAGGTGAGTGGTTTCAGCTGAAGAGTGTTGGTCTCATGAGTCCTTGTATTATTATGTCCTTTATTCATTTTATTTTTTTTATGTTCCAGTATATTTCAGCATCCCCAGAAGAATCTTGTGATTTTTCTCTCTGTGTGTGTGTGTGTGTGTGTGTGTGTGTGATTCACTCCCTTTAATTTCATCATATTTTTTCTCCCATTCTTTCATCTCATTTCATCAAGGACAAACAGCAGCAGCTCCCACCTGGAAAGCCCCCCTCCCCGTAGTGTTGTTCCTCATTTTGTCTGTCTGCATTTTATCATTAACTCAGGTAAAAGCAACTTTCACAACTCCACTTCAAAGTGAAAGCAGCTGTCGTTGTTGTTCCAGGCACTATACTACAGCAGATTGTGCATGTCAGGGCATTTACAGGAGCTACACGCATACCCGCTTTGCAGGACTTGCACCTACACCTGCTCGCGCCCACACACCGCAAACATCAACGCTCTGCCCTCGTTGCTGTGCAGGAGTTTCATTATGTTGTGTCATCGCCTCTTTTTTTAATGTTGCCATATGGTTTTCTCTGTAGTGGTTGGGAAGGTTGTAAACTTCCAAATCTGTTGTTGTCAATAAAAATGCTGAACGAAGGGGAAACCTTTATTTCTACTAATAGGACATTTGCCCCACACACAGTGTCGGTCCTTTTAAGAATAATCAATCGGTCAACAAGCAGCTGAATAATGCAGTCCTCCAGGACTTCCTGGGCTTGACCTAGTTGGAATAATGAATGCTTATGTAAATCACGGACTCAAACTCGGAAGTTAATGTTTAATTTAAAATGGCACTTCAGTAAGATGAGATTAAACTTTAATGGAACTTTAATAACTTTAATATCTTTGATAATATCCATATTGATTTTATAGTCTTTCTCAACTGTTATAGAGCCCATTATCTTTAGTGTTAACCCTTTAACGTTAAAACACTGAAGAGCCAGAGGTGTCTAGTCAGATGTTTCATAGAGTTTAATGGGCTGGTTCCCTCGTTGCCAACTTTTATAACTCTAGTGGATGAAGTTGAGGAGCTGCAAAATGAAACGAGCATGTGCTGTCACAACCCAGGCCTACAGGACAGGGCAAGACTCGCAGTGATCCACATCATGAGTCCAAGCAAACGCCAAAATAAGTGATACCAGAGCAAAGGTGAAGCTAAAAGGGAGGCATGGGGTGGCGCTGATCCCCCAACATTGTGTTGTCACATATTGCAATGAGTACTGCCCTCCATTTAACAAAAATAAAAAAAATCAAGGCTTATTCCAAAGGTGACAACAGCTTGTCCATCAGGGCCCCTCAGCTTTGGATTACAAATAGACGAGTCTCATGAAATCTTTGACTTCTTTGAAATCACTTGGACAAACCCATTTTTATAAATTTGCTTTTATCTAATGTCTATCTCGTTTGTCACTCTCATTTTAGACCTTAAATGCTATTGTGTGTATATGTTTTGTGTATTTTTGAATTTAATATCAATATATCCTATATCCCAATGTCTCTTTAACTTGGCTCCATTTTATTTCTGTCCTGGTTTTTGTATTTTACTCATACTTGCATGTCAAAACACCCCGTACTCTGTTTTTAAAGGCGTTTAAATGTCATATGAGTAATAGCAGTAGTATTAGTTTATCAAAAAACTATGTGTGAACGATTTCAGGGGAAAAAGAATCACAATACCCTTTTGGTGGGAAAAAGCCATTGTTGCACACAGTGCATCCCTGTATATGTAACTATGTTATTTAAAATAACATAATAATAACTATCCTGTAGGGTCTAAAGTTAACAATGGCTCCATTATAATTATCTGCAGGCATATATTTATATTTCTACTGTAGTGTATTTGAGCCTGTTTTGAGGCCTGGGTTATTGATTAGTACTGTCTTGCAATTAATTGTCTTCTTTCTACCCTTTCCCCCTCGAAGGACTTTCTGGGCCAGACCTTCTGCACACTCGGAGAAATTATCGGCTCCACAGGAGGAAGGCTGGAGAGGACCCTCTCGTAAGTCCCTCACACCCTTTCTATTGTCTCATTGTGAAATGACTTCCCTCCTTTTCTGTTTATTTATTTATTTTCTTTAAGCGGTGAATCATAAATAAAAATTATGCACATAAATAATTTCTTCAGCTGGGCAGAATGAAACGAGTCCCCCCTCCATCTTTTGTTTCATTTTTATCGATGGCTGCTGGGGAAAACAACATCTCACTGATGCAGTGTGCACAGACTCGCCTGGCTAAATAGCCTCATCTATTACAGCGTTAGATCAGAGTAAGCGAGACCAGGCAAGCCTGCTGTATCACTGCACTCTGAGCTGTTGCTCCTGAAGTAGTATTGAGTTTTACTGTGCTGAACGAAAGTGGGATGTGCAGTAGAAGTCAATATAACGTTGGATACAGATATACAGAATGCGCTCATATTTTCTGCCAGGCAGCATGTTGATAGTAGAAACCAATGCTTTTTTTTTTTTCAGATAATAAAAGGTGGATTAGTGTGCACTCTTTGTGAGCTCAACCCCCCCCCCTATTTTTTTCACACTGCATCCCTGCAGTGTTAGATAACACCCAGTGTTCTGAGGAGTGAACAAACTGCTGGGAGACAGAGAGAGATGTGAGGTCAGAGCAGTAACCGGCCAGATTTGAACCCATTTTATTGCAAGGACGAGGCATCTCGCTTTTTCTCTGCCTATACAGTTCAGAGTTCATCTTAAAGGGTGCAAGGAAACAATTTTTCTGAGTAGCCCTCACAATAGCCCTTTGTGGAGCAGCACATAAATTAGAAGCTGGATTATATGAGCTCTGTGAGTGTCACTGCTGCTTTATTGTCTTAAATTTTGACTTAAATTTCCTTGATGTAAATGATCAGTGAACTCACTTTATGATAAACTATCACTGACTGGGAATGATATACACGTGACTGGAGGTTAAATCCTGTGATGAAGGTAGTCACACTTGTCGAAGTTTGACAAAAGAAAATAACATTTTTAGACTCCACATTTCTCGCTCATTTTTCTCTGATCTACTACAGACTATAGATAAAAAAGTAGCCTTTTGGCTATCTCTGGCATGTTTATATTGATCTGTCCCTTTAAAATAGATACATTCAAAACTCAAAAACTTTGCTTTTCTTCAAAACATTGTAAGGTACTGACATGTACGCCACCAGGTAATAACCGCAATTTAAACCCATGCAATGAAACTAATCTGAGTTCAAAAAGTATCTGACTCAGAACTGTGCGATTCTCACTGCACCTCACCTTGTAGCACTGCGCGGATGTCTTTTCCTGATTCTAATGTGTTTAAAGTGTGTTAAAAAATGGGACAGTTGTCCAGTCTTTACCCAGAATCCAAAGGGATGTACTTAAGCCTTGTTTTATTCAACCAATAGTCCAAAGCTGGATTTAGTTTATGATAACATTAAACAGAAAAAAACATTGGAGGTTGGTACCACAGACTGTATATAACAGATGGATGCAGACATTGTGATATCAATCAAAAACTCAAGTTTGTCATTTTAACCAACAATTTATGAGATTTTTTTTTTATTTTTTACCAAACATTACAATATTTGGGCAAGAGTGCAGAGGTGGGGAGTTGTCATCTAATGCTAGTGTTGGTTAGGGTTGGTTTCCCTAAACCATGAAATACTTTCTAGAAAAAGTGTTTATTGAACCTGCTGACAAATTTTTAAAACAACAAATCTAAAACTGTTTTGTATTTATGAGTTTTAATTTGTATTATTTTTGCTATATCCACTATTGTTGTGCATTATATAACAAAGTTTTACTTAAAAAATTATTAAAAATTAATAATACATTTTGTTTTACAATGTTTTTGTGTGAAAACAATCACATGATGATGTAGAGCGCTTAAAAGTTCACAATAACTCATGAATCAGCCGAGAGATATAATCTTTTCAGCGTGTCCCCGGTCTGCCCCGGGGCCTCCTCCCGGTGGGACATGCCTGGAACACCTCACCCAGGAGGCGCCCAGGGGGCATCCTTGTCAGATGCCCGAACCACCTCAGCTGGCTCCTTTCGATGTGGAGGAGCAGCGGCTCTACTCAGCTCCTCCCAGATGGCTGAACTTCTCACCCTATCTCTAAGGGAGAGGCCAGCCACCCTTCGGAGGAAGCTCATTTCTGCCTCTTGTATCCGCGATTTCGTTCTTTCGGTCACTACCCACAGCTCGTGGCCATAGGTGAGGGTAGGGACGTAGATCGACCGGTAAATTGAGAGCTTCGCTTTTACACTCAGCTTCCTCTTCACCACGATGGACCGGTGCAGCGTCCGCATCACCAATCCGTCTGTCGATCTCCGGCTCCCTTCTCCCATCACTCACAAACAAGACCCCGAGATACTTGAACTCCTCCACTTGGGGCAGGAACTCATCCCTGACCCGTAGTGGGCACTCCACCCTTTTCCATGGCCTCAGATTTGGAGGTGCTGATCCTCATTCCGCTGCTTCACACTTGGCTGTGAACCGTTCCAGAACACAAAATGTTTAAAGGATAAATATTACACCAAAGAAACACTGAGATAATTCATAGGACCAATAAAAAAAACCTGCCTAGTGGTGGTACAAAAATCAGGGGCTTGTCATAATAAACAGAATCCACATTTTGGGACCATGAAACTTTCAAAAAAATGATGTTATGCTATGTAATTAATTATTAATGAAACGTAGACCAAAGATGACCAGACTAACGGTGGCCAGACTAACCTAACATTTTGACTAATTAGTGGTCTCTGTTTTTTAGCATGACAGATACAGAGACCACTGGAAGAAAGTGGACCTTTAATTAAGGAAAGGAAAGTAAACAATACCAAACAAGTCAAATTCAAACATTTTTCATCTTCTCTGTAGAATTTCTTGTTGTTGTCTACGTTTGCCAGTTAGTTCTTTTGCACTCCCAAATGCCTCTTTGACGTTGCTCATGGTGGTTTAGCTCAACAAACAGCAACAGTTCAGCTTCTAAACAAATACAATTTCCAGTCTATTGATAGCAAGTCTGTGTGGGTTTGTCCTGACTGGAATGGTAGTACAGTGTGTGAATCACTGCTTCTGACTTTGGCTTGATGTGGTGAGTCAAGTCGGCTAGAGGCTAGCTTATGTCCCCCTCAGCTGTCCCTTGCCAGAAGCCTTATTGACATGTTTTAGAAAGCTTATCATGCTCAGACAGACCAAACAATGCGCCTGCTATTGTCCAATTTCTTCCCAAATGCCATGGTACTGTGTGAGTGAGGGATGAAGAGGAAAAACAAAGAAAGTGGTGAAAGATATCTATATTTTCATTTTTGCTTCTTTGGAATGTAAAGTCGATGTGCTGCCAGTGCTTAAATAGCAGGCACGAATACAAAAAGGAGCCATTAGATGCGAGATTATAATAAAATATATTTAATTTTACTGCTTTTGATTTGTCTTCTCTTAACTATGGAACACGCACTCACCACCCCCTACTTTTCTTTTAAATGAAATTGGCTTTTAACGATGGGGACAATTACTCAAACTCATCACAAACCTGTCGGAAGTGCCATGCCATTAATCATCTTTTCACTGTATCCATTATTGCAATTCACCTTGAGGAGAGAAATTACAAAAGTGACATAAGTGAAAGGTTACATGCAATAAGACCCCTGACAGAGGAATTTTTATTAATGACTGATTCTGTGATTGATGGGGGATAACAGCACTTGGAGACAATCACTGGGGGATTTTCCAACACTATCCGACAACCGAAGGTATGATTGTGGAAGAATTCCTTTTTGTTCTCATGCCTTCAATGGGGTATATATTTTATAGCTTAGATTTTAATTGAATTGTATTAAATGTTCAGTAAAACTTGTAAATGTCAGCAAAGGAAAATCTTAAGACTGGATAAACATTTTAAATGATATAAGATCATCCCTCCACCCATCTATCCACTATGGCAACAAGCAGGAAAAGTCCAAACCTCATTTTCCTGGGCCACCTCCTCCAACTGTTCCAGAGAGGAAGCCTAGATCTTCTCAAGCCAGGCGAGAGATCATACCCCAGGGCCTGGTCCCATTAGGACCGCCTGAAACTGCGTTAACCATGTGAACTGGGCAGTCAAGGGCAGAGGCCCAAGAATCACTTGAGCGTGCTTCTGAAATTATGTTTCTTTTCTATTTAGTCTCTATAAGAGACTGCTGTTGTTTTTAAGAACTTGTGGCTTAAAGTGGAATACAGTGGTATGCCTTTGCCATGGTTATTGCATCTGTATTCACTACAGTACTGTATAGTATACTGTATTCACTTAGTGCTCTTTGTGCATCTTTGGGACGTTTTTTTCTTCTTTTGCCTTCTAGTTATTTCCATCAGATATAGGGGAGGGAGGGATTTGAAATTGCAGGTTCTTCCATTTTCATGGAGCAAAGGTTTCAGACTGGCTAAGATACAGAGCAGAATGCACACTCTGCCACTGGAAAGACAAGTGTGTGAGCAATTTTTACAAAGGTTGTGGGGAAAATATATCTCTAGGGTTTGCATGGACTCCCCAGTTATGTATATATATTTCTCATAACTTGGCATAATTTTTTTAATTTTTTTTAATTAATGCTTTTTAAAATTATAAATGTTTTGGGCTCCCAGCGGACCCCAAATAAATGCACCCAATTCTGCCTATTGCATGTTTAAGAACTGGAACTGTTTATTCAGTTAATGTTAACTATAGGCTCTAAATTAAAGTGTCATACAGCATCAATGGGATTAGGGGCACTCTGGCAGTCACTTTAAATTAGAAATACTTCATTCTACATTCATTCATTCTACGTGGGGAACTTATCAGATGTCACTGAATCTACTTGTGACAGCTGGGCCATACCCTGGCCATGCCACACATGAAAAGGAGTGGTGCTACACTTCAAGCTCTAATCCAAGCAGCAGTAACCCTCCTGGGAGTGAGGGAAAACTCCACCTGCTGACTGTCTAATGCACAGCTGGAAATCTGCTTGAAAAAGGTGTTACCTTTGCTCCTAAATCACCGACA